AGTTGTCTGGATGTCTCATTTTGGAGATTTTTCGGAGTGATTAGGTTTCCCCAGTTTCAATATTGCTTAGTGCTGGTTTACTAGCGTTATTAAGTAAGATACTTCCATATTCCAGGATTGGTCTGCATATTAAGGTGTAAATTCTTTTTTTTTGTTTGGTGGCTTTTTTGTTGCAAGTGGCTGGCCCTTGTTATTATTTTCTTCTTTGACAGGGAGGAGTGAAGATTAAAGTTTACTTTATTGTCTAGTGTGATTCCCAAGTATTTTACATTAGATTTTGGCTCTATTATGTTATTGTAAGTCTTAATTGTTATATTAGGGTCAATCTTTTTTGAAGTTTGTAGACAATGTTTTTGAATGATTAATGGGTTAGTTTTGGACTTCCATTGTCTTTATGTAATTGTTTGTTTACGACGTTTCAATTAGATATAATTTCTAATCGTCTTCAGGTAATGATTAACAAATGACTCACAGCAACGTCATTTGTTAATCATTACCTGAAGACGATTAGAGATTATATCTAATTGAAACGTCGTAAACAAACAATTACCTACATAAAGACAAGGGAAGTCCAAAACTCACCCATTAATAAGGGGCAATCTTGTTTTGATGAAAGTGTATTTGCTGAGACTTTAGTGGACTTGTTTTTAGTCTCCATTTGTTAAACCATGCCATGGTTTGATCTGTCAAAACTTGGCGGTTTTTCGATTTTTGCTATGGCAAATTAGAACGGTGTCATCTGCGTATTGAAGTACATATTTATCTTGGTTGAAGAGATTGTAGATGTCGGCACAGTGAAAGTTATAGAGCAGAGGGGAGAGAGGGGAACCCTGGGCAGTCCTTGTTTGGCTTTAAATTTCTTGAAGTTGTATTGTTTATTGATACATGCAGACTCCGGTTATCTAAAAATTTCAGGAGTATTTTTAGGATGTTTTTTGAGCAATTTAGCTGGTGCAGTTTGTATAATAACCTTTATGCCAGACGCTGTCAAATGCCTTACCGTGGTTTTTCTTCCCATCAAACATGAAGTTTGTATATTATTAATAAGTATCACAGATTATAAGTATTGTCAAAGGATGGATTGTTGACTTATTCTTCTGGAACCCAAACTGATAGCGAGGAATCGTGTGTCCTATTGCTTCTGTAATTCTGTTGCATAAAATGTTTTCGAATTTTTTGGACAAGTTTGACAGGAGATTTATGTAGTTTTTTACTATAATTTAAATTTTTCCACAATTTATTTTTTAATGCAATCTTGGCTTTGCACATCTCTCTTAATATCTACATATGGGTGCAACCCCAGATTTTTAAAGTCACGAGCCGCCACTGTATGACTTCTTCCAAAGTAAATAATAAATTATGAATTGTTTTTAATAACTTTCTTCTATACAGTATTATCACCAAAAAACACGACGAAAACTGCGAACGGGTTTAATTTGAATGCTTTTCTAATCATTTTTCTGTTTCTCCATTCAATTTCCCGTTTGTATTAGTTTAGAGTATTTTTAGAGTATTAGAGTTTTATAACTCGATCAGTCGTCTATTAGTTTTTTTCAGCAGGGTTACGCATGCCAGAAATTGTAAGCATAACATTCGGATGCCTCCAGGTCACATACACGCGTGTAAATTTTTTGTTTCATTTCAGTTAATGGAATGTATTCTGTAGGAGCCTGCATATGTTGTTCCATATACCTCCCTAGTAGCAATTTGGGAAAAGCCTTGTGCCAGCATGGGTCAAGATACTTGGTCCAGATTCTTGATCAAGATCATTGGGCAAGACTTGGGCCAGACTGTGGCCAGAATTTGTCAAGAATTTTACCAAAAGTCTGAGGCCATCTGTTACCAAACTTAGGGACTATCCTATAGAGTAGAGGTTCTCATTTTACAGTAGTTTCATTCACAATACTCTAGTCGAGAAGTGTGTGTAAGAGAGAATGAAAATGAAAAAAAAACTAGAAAAAAAAAACGGTTTTTTTGTTTTTATTTCAAAATGAAATTTTGAGTAAAATGTATATTAATAATAAAGTAAAATGTAGAATATATTACATTTTTCATTATTGAAAATTTTGACAGAGACTAAAAAATCTGATTTATTATTATTTGGTAGTTTCCACATTAGCAACCAATAGCAATGTAAAACTTCTACACTAATACAAAAAATTAAAGGATAGCTGTATCTTTGTTAAAAATGGTCGTATGAGCCGTAAAAAAAGCAATTTGAAGCTTGAAGTTTCTAGTTTTGAGACTTTTAGATGAAAAACGTGCAACGCTCAGTCCTAACGAATACCGTAATAAAAATTTTTTTTTGGCTTTCTGGTCCACAGAATGTTCTGACTTAAGCACCAATGAATAAATTTTCTACAAGAATTTGCTATTGTTTAAAAAAAAAATTTTAAATCATGAAAAAAAGTGCTTTTGGTAGCTTTTTGAAAAATGAAGCGCTGAATCAAAAATATTATATGTAGTTACTTTTTTTAGGACTAAATCAAAACAAGCGCGACCCTTATTGGTCAATTTGGTGGTGGTGGAGCGTGCATAGCGCGAGACTGTATTTACATTTACTAATTGTCATTTAGTGCCTAATTTTAGTCCATGAACTGGACTGGAAACATAAAAAATTAGGCAAATGGGACTAATCTTGAAAAAACCTAAAATGTGAAAAAAAAACCATTTGAAAAAAACAATGAAAAAGAACCTGAAAAAAAAACAAAAAAAACGGAACGTTTTTTTTCAAGTCGCATCTCTAGTCTAAGGTGAACCGAAGTTTGCCGAAGCTAAAATTTTTCTTCCCACAAGTACCAGTGAAAGTAGGGAAATAGGAGGCGAGCTTGTCGTCTTTTTAGTTTCTCGCGTAAGTCTATCTCAAGAATATGGTCAAATTCTGGTCAAAGAATGGCCCAATTCTGGAGACAGTCTGGAAAAAGAATCTTGGTCAAGTGTCTTGATCAAGAATTGTCAAATTGTGTATAAAGTGCTTCTCCAAGTATCTTGCCGGAGAATCTTGTCCCATTCCATTGCTACTAGGGCTATACAGTAACAGAAACTTTAGTTTTAATATACTTCATATTCCAGTAAACAATCCCACCGCACAGGTAAGCAGCGAAATGTACTATTTATGCGATAATCTATAATTGAAATTTACTGAAATTGAGGGGAAAATAATAACGAACGCATCCAAAATATCCGTTTTTGTCCTGCTTTTTTATGATTAGACTTTTAGGGCTCCCACGGCTAAATTACAAATTTTATTTAGGAATTTAGGAGGTTTTTTTGTAAAATTTTAACTACTTAAAAAATAACAAAAAAATAAATAATTCTTTTTAACAAAAATATAAATAAATATCACTTCTTTTGAACAAATAGTTTTTTAGCCAAATCGAGTAAGGTAAAATTACTACTTTTGTATATATGTATCTGTATACACAAGAAGAAATTTCACCACACTTATTATTTCGATAGATTTGGCCAAAACCAAATGATGTTATATTTATATTTTAAGAAAAAAATGTTAAACGTTTAGTTAATAACTAACAATAATTGTAAAGTGGATCTTAATACTCAAAAATCTCTAATAGAAAAAATCCTTTTGTTTGATATATAACGGTATATTTTTGTCTAAAACTAAATAATTACGTGAGACAATTTTGGCGATTTTTCGACCCCCCCCTCCCCTTGGTGAGATGTCGTGAGATTTTGCTCGACCCCCTCTCCCCCCCCTTAATCTCACGTGAGATTTTTTTAAATGCATGGTTTTAATGTAAATAAGTTAATCTGTCCTTGATTCCATTAGATTTATTAAAAAAAACAATTTGCTTATAATTGTTTACTTAATTTAACCCAGTTTTCTCGCAATTTTACACTCTTTCTTTCGGAAAAAAAAACTACGTGATATTTGCCGAGACCCCCCCTCCCCCCACGTGAGATTTGGGGAGGTTTGGCTCGACCCCCTCCCCCCCCTAAACACCTCACGTAATTAATGAACGGCCCCATATGGCTAAAAATTACAATTTTGTAGAAGTCTAGGAGCTATTACTTGGATTTTGTTTTTAGGTATATTTTGTTGTATTTTATGAAAAATGTTGGTTGTAATATTAAATCACTTCAAAAAAATCATAGACCAGAACTAAACATAAATATTTTCAAATTACTTTTTAAAAAAGAATTTTTTTAACACGACAACTAACTTAATTAAACGCAGTCAGGTTGCCCTATTTACACTGCAAGTAAAAAAATTCTAACTCTAAAACGCCTTTACCAATCTTTATAAAATTTTGGATAAAAATACTTGAACTTATATCTCAGTTCACGTTTTCAAGGGTTTTTCGAAAAAATATCCTTAAAGCCCTTTTATTTAATATTTAAAAAAAACGCTTGAAAAAAAACTTTTCTAGGGAATTTTTTTTAAGTAAATAAAAAATATGCTGTTAAAGACCGTATTTTTGTTAGTATACTCTGAAAAGGTTTTTTCGAGCGTTTTTTTTAATATTAAATAAAAGGGCTTTAAAAATATTTTCTCGAAAAACCCTCGAACACTGAAATATAAGTTGAAGTATTCTTATAAAAAATTTCATAAAGATTGGTAAAGGCGTTTTAGAGTTAGAATTTTTTTACTTATTATGCGTTAATTTTGACGCGCAGTGTATATTTAATTTTTAGGAGTTTTAGGATATTGATGGTAGTTTTAGGAGAATTTTAGGAGTTTTCTAGATTTAATCCAAATTTTAGGAATTTTATGAGTTTTAGGAGGTGTGGGGGCCCTGTACTTTACGCTCTAAGCTCAGTGTGCTTACGCGCGTACATAAGTACCGGTTTTTTTTTTAATATTTGTCCCTTAAACAAAAAAGTTAAAAAGCGATTTGTAAACAACTGGACGTAATAAAGAAAAACTGATAGCATATTTGAACTCGTGACAAAATACGTACAAAAAACCTTCCTTTGACCAATCATTGTTAAAAAATAAAAGCAGCACTGTAAAATTTGTTTAATAAATAAATTCTTACTTGACAATCCTGAGACAGAGTTCCGTCAATATCCTGGCTCTTTTCACGATCACGCTGTGTCGTTCGTTAAATTTTTCTGCATTAGTAGCTAAATATCTAATATCAAATTGGGCGGCAGTGAGTCTTCGGTAAAAATTATTCTCGAACCTAGCCTTAATCGTTGACAAGTCTATGGGGTATTCTATTATCATTGCGTAGGTCGGATATATGCTTAAATCTACGGGAACCAAAAACGGTTCGGCTATCGCTAGTTGCATTACTTTGGTCAGACCGTCCAAAATGTATTTGCAAACTTCGTCCTGGTCATTATTGGACCAGTCTTCCGGCACGTGTTTGTACAGGATTGCATCTAGTTCCTCCTGCATAACTGGCAGTGCTTCGTTTTCATTTGTTGGCATACCTAAAAGATAAAAACTTTTGATTCATGAACAAAATAAAAACGTAGGCAAAATTACGATTGTCATCAATAGGTTCGAAATCCCAAGGGGACATTCTTTCTTGTTCACCATTTTGCCACTTAATTCCATAACACAAAAATGAGGAGTTTGGAAATAAATCGGAGGCCGGTGATTTGTCGATAATTTCGCCTATCCACCATCCATCATCAATCATACACCGAAACCTTAAAGAAATATTGCATTAATTATATTTTTGATTTAAATTTTCCAAGTGAGAATAGCATGGATATACTTGTAGAAATATTATTTTTTCCACATTATATTTTAATGTTTATTAAAGTGAAACTTCTTTGCGGACGGGGTAAAGCAAAACTTGGCGTTACGTAAGATAAAACGGAAACCGCGCGTGCATTGTAAAAATGGTAAGACAAATTCGCACAGTAGTTTAAAATTCAAAAATGGTGGGATATATTTGCACATATATATCAGAATTTAAAACATTTATAAGAAAAATGTGCACAGTAGTATAAAATTTATACCATAATAAATATATACAGGGATCAACAAGTATCTATGTGTGGCTATATTTATAAGAGCTGGGGCAGTTAAATTAGAGACAAGTTGCGTAATTCCAAGTCTATTAAAATGACATTTATAAAAGTTGGACAAAAAATCAGAGGTTCTCAAATGATTTGAAAAAAAATACAAACCTTTCAAAAACAAATATCGTAATAAATTCGTTGTTCCTGGGTATTTTATAAAGTAAGTTTTGGATGTAAACATATACATTTATCTACGCTTTCATCCATTTTTTATGGGTTACCACCACCATCTTTTTTTTTCTATGGCCGCCATAATGAAAAAGCAATACAATGATGTTTTAAACTACATAATAAACTGCATGGGGATGGTAACTTAAAATCTAGCAGCGAAAAAATGTAATGAAAATGTAGATTCATGTTTACATCTAAAAATTTCCAAGAATAACAAAGTTATAAATATTTTTGGTTTTAAAAGGTTTTCAGTTTTTTTCAAATATTTTGAGAACCGCTGGCTTTTTTAATTTATAAATTTCATGTTAATGGGCTTGTATCTACGCAACTTTTCTCTAATTTAACCAACCTTGTAGTAATTGAAATAAAAAATACCCATAGAATATACATGTAAAAGATTACTTGGTACAGAATATATATACTGAACTGAAATTACATTTCGTATAAAAAGGTCCTTTGCAATAATGCAATAAAATGTAAAATTTAAAAGATATAGAGCATTTAATAAATTTTATTGTCAAATATTGATAAACTAATTAGCATTAATTAAGGAATCCCCCCTCACTCGGATACAGATAAAGAGTAAAAAAATGTCTTATGGATTAATAAAAGAAAATGCATAGTTCAAAACCGGTTTCAGTACACAAGCATTGGTGACAAATGGAAAAAAAATCACTATGGAGTTCCAAAAGGGTACTTCTAGGGCCACTACTTTTCCTACTTTACATCAATGACATAACTGAATGTGATGTTAAAGTTGAAACAGTTTTATTTACGGATGATATTATTTTCTATTCTGGAAGTGAAGAGAAAGTTTTTGGATGGGCTCAAAGCGATCTAAATACCATTAATGTGTGGAATAAAAAAAACAATATTTAACTTAATGAATCTAAGTCCAACTATCTAGTCATAAAAAGTAAAAAAAAACCTGTGATAACTATACTTTAACGTTAAATAAAGAAATTGTGGATAAAATAAAAAATGCAAAATATTTAGTATTATTATTGATGATAATCTTAGTTTATCGAACTAAATGTGTTAAACATTGTTGAGCTAATAATGCAGGATAGTGTCAAAGTGGTGTATCAACTATCAACCTAACTAAAAACTGTGATAAACATAACACGAGGACCAACCAGCATTATCAGATTGCTCCAAATGTCACTAAGTTTGGAGAAAGGAGAATAACACAATCTGCTCTGAAATGGTCCAATGAACTTCCTGAGGAGCCATTTCAGGCATGCGGACGGGACAAATCACAAATCACAAAAATAGTCTCCGTTTATGTGCATACAGTTTATCAAGTTCTACACTTTTAAACAAATCCGGTTAAAATCGCACAATAAATAAAGATTTTACAAGGGTGAGTCGCAAAAAAATGCATCACACTGTAGATTATAGTGGCGTAAAATACCGCCAAGCCATAGAAAAATTGAAAATAATCCTTAATTTCCTGTTATTTCAATGGAAAAACTTTAAGATCAAACTAAAAGTAGTAGTTAGGAGTAACAATAAGGGCTGAAACTTTAAGGGCATTTTTTCCCGATATGTGCACCAATATTTTGCTTGGGAAGCGATGAAAAATAAATTTTCCTTTAAAACGAATCGCCCTAATATTTTTAAAATTTACCAAATATTTAAAATTTTCAAAATTTTCTAAACTTGCAAAAACTTTAAAATCTTTGAAGCCTGAAAACTCTAAAACTTTAAAAAAAGCTTAAAAACTGTAAAAAAAATGTAAGAGCTCAAAAAATGCTCAAAAGCTTGATTAAGGAGATAATTTACAGTGGGTTAGACGAAATTCCCTGTATTTTGTCCAATAATTCCAAATTTCCGACTGGAAAAAAATCCCTAGAACTAGGGAAAAGTTGGCAATACTAATCACGACTGGAGCATTAGTGCGTGCGTACTACGGTTTTCTCGATCTCCCATTATGGGAGTCCCATAGCACATGTTGAGAGTTTTTGCCACTTCACGCAAATTCATTTGTTTCTACTTTAGAATTAAATGTCGCAATTTCTGGTATAATTTATAAAAAATAATATTAATAAAATATTTAAATAAAATTGTAAGCACTAAAAGTGTTGAATTCTTTAAGGAAACCCAAACAAATAACATCCATGATTATCGACTAAATAAAAACAAAACGCGAACTTAATTAAATTGTCTAAAAGCTTTACTCCCGCTGTCTGGTCTAAGCTCACATGTACTTTTTTTACTTACTTGTCACCAATTGTCCAGTTCCTTGATATGGCCGTGCAATAAGTCTGTTTGAGAACGAAGAAATCCAAAACGTCGGGCATATCGTGATACTTTACGGTGAATATTTTTCCAGTCATACGAGCTTCTTCATCGAGTAGGGCCAACCTCAGGCAACACAATCTAGGAGGCTTAATTTCGTACTGAATGCCAATTACTTTAACGAACTCGTGATCCCTAATAGGCATTTTGTTCCACGGCAAATCTTTGGTGTTAATTTCATAAGCGTTTTTATTTCTAACTGCATTCAGATAGAGCTGGTGACCTTCTATGAAATAAACGATCTCGTCTCCCATTTGGGGGTAGTAAGGGGATTTTCTGGGTATCGTTTCTGATAACCATTCGCTTAATCTGTATTGTTCGGTAGTTTTTTTTGATATTTTTGGAACACTTGTGCTTGTGGAAGGTCTAGGTGGTTCAGATTCCTGAAATAGTCAAATTAAAATACAATGCAGTGCAAAAATACAGTAAAGTTAATAATAGATGAATTTTGGTTTAATATTTTATCCAAAGATGTACTACACTTACAAAGTCATCCTCCTCGTCATCTCCCCGATTTAATTTGTGGTTTTCTTTTGCTTCACGAGCTCTTCTTTTTCGCGTGCCAGTGCCAGTGCTGGTGCTGGGCAGTCTTAGACTCTCTCTGTCATCGTCATCGTCGTCGTCATTATCGTTATCTTTATCGGATATGCTAACGTGAATCTGTCGACGTTTCGAACGTTTCGGTGGTTCGAGATTAACACCTTCCTCAGCCATCCAATCCGAATATCCAGAGCATTCAGAATCCTCGTCGTTGTCAGAGGATGTTACGGGCTCCGGCGGTCCCTAAATAATTAATAATTTATAAGATCTTTTCACCCGACATTTAAACAAAAATAATAATGGAACCTTAGATTTAACACGAACTATCTTTATAAACTCAATTTTTTTAAGTATCTCTAAAGAAAAGTCAAAAGGAGTCAAGTTAGGACGCGAAATATGCGATTTCATTAGTTTAGTTTACACCTGACTAAAGTAATTTGAATGAACAGATTTTCCCGAATTTAAACTATAGAATATTTTTAAAATTTAATAAGATTTAACTTAGCCAAATCTTTGTTCCTTTTGGAGTGTTTGTATTTGTATGTTTTAATTTTATTTTATGTGTAAATATTATTGCCCAATTAATTTATTATTATTATTAATATTATTATTTGTTATAATTTATTTCAAAGCGTTTAACATTACCTCTTGTTGAATATAAATAAATATAAATATTTAAATAAAAATTACAAATAAATTATTGTATTTGAAATAATCAAAGCATGAAAAACGAACTTTATCCAAAACTGACATGTTTTGTTAAAATTTGTAATTTTGTTGCAATACTGAGGGTGGGAAAAATAATTAATTCCCTAATTGTTAATTTCTTAACTTAAACATGCGAGCGAAATGCTACTTCGCCCGCTAGTGGGTGGTCATTTAAAAGAAAATAATAATAATACCGTTGATTTAACACGAACTGTCTTTATAAACTCAATTTTTTAAGTATCTCCAAAGAAAAGTCGGAAGGAGTCAATTTAGGAAGCGAAATATGCGATTTCATTAGTTTAGTTTACACCTGACTAAAGTAATTTGAATGAACAGATTTGCCCGAATTTTAACTATAGAATGTTTTTTCATTTAATTTAACTTAGCCAAATCTTTGTTCCTTTTGGAGTGTTTGTATTTGTATGTAATTATTTTATTTATGTGTAAGTATTAATGCCCAATTAATTTATAATTATTATTATTTGTTATAATTTGTTTCAATGCGTTTAACAGTACCGCCTGTTGAATATAAATAAATATAAATATTTAAATAAAAATAAATTATATTTAAAGACATTACAAATTATCAAAGCTTAAAAAACGAACTTTATCCAAAACTGACATGTTTTGTTAAAAATTTATTTTATTTAAGAAAATAATATTATGTAACTTTGTAGACCTTCTGAGGGTGGGCAAAATAATTAATTCCCTAATTGTTAATTTCTTAACTTAAACATGTGATCAAAATGCTACTTCGCCCGCTAGTGGGCGAAATAGCATTTCGCCCACGGGTTGGAGTTGGAAAAAAGTGAAAGTGAAGTGAAACATAATATGTTTCACTTCACTTTCACTTTTGAGTTGGAAAAAAGTGAAAGTGAAGTGAAACATAATATGTTTCACTTCACTTTCACTTTTTTCCAACTCCAACCCGTGGGCGAAATGCTATTTCGCCCACTAGCGGGCGAAGTAACATTTTGATCACATGTTTAAGTTAAGAAATTAACAATTAGGGAATTAATTATTTTGCCCACCCTCAGAAGGTCCACAAAGTTACATAATATTATTTTCTTAAATAAAATAAATTTTTAACAAAACATGTCAGTTTTGGATAAAGTTCGTTTTTTAAGCTTTGATAATTTGTAATGTCTTTAAATATAATTTATTTTTATTTAAATATTTATATTTATTTATATTCAACAGGCGGTACTGTTAAATGCATATTATGTCAAATGTGGGATTGGGCCATAATTATTCCGTTTCATAATTTTTATACTGTTTTGTATTTATTTGCGGTACTTGAATAAAATAGTTTGTGAGACTATTGGTCAGAAGAAGAGATTCCACTCGCTGAACTCGTGCAGCTAGCTATACGGTGTAAAAATCCCTCTTTCTCCCACTAGTCGCACAATAATATTATAAATGTGGAACGCTAAAAAATAGTTAAGCTAATTATGCAACGCAAAATGTTACTACTACGCTTCCTAGAATATTTAAGATTATTGATAAAACTATAACAAACAAAATTTTCAAACTCAAATAAAATACATACCGGTTCTTCAACTGGTTGCTCAGATCTATTAGTTCTAACTGGATATTTCTTATTTTTCTTTTTATCGGCAGATTTTATATTGCTTGAAGTACCGGTACTTATCATGTGCGGTCTTAATTTTAATTGTTTTTGATATTCTTCAACTTCATTGTCTTTCATGCATTCCCTGAAAACCAATTTAAAAATTTTATTGCTACATTTATTAATTTAAATACCTGTAATGTTTAAATTTTTGCATTAAAGCCGGTCTGAGTGGGGGTATTAAAATATTTCTTTTCCATTCTATATTGGGATCAGATTGCCAGTCACCTGTTGTGCTATTTCTTAGTCTTTCCATGTCCCTGCTTCTTTTGTAAAAAATATACGTTTAAGTCTAGATTTTACAATTTGAAATTAACTTACCTTCTAACCAATCTTAATGCAGATACGTTACCACGATTTTCCTCCTCATTTGCTAAAACTTGTGGAGGTATTTCGAAATCTTGAATGACTTCTTGAGTCCCTATATAAAAATAAATAATATTTAAAATCATTTTACTATTCGGATAAATTAGTAATATCTTACCAGCTATAATAGCAGCGTAAAAACATTAAACAACATCAGATGTTATAAATAACAGCACGAAAAAGTGAACTTACCTTCATTTCCTATGACGATGTTTGGCACTAGCTGCTCGGTTCGGCAGTTTTCTCGTCCGGGTACCAAACGTTGTAACATAGGCGGATACGGATTACCGTCGATGTCCACCAGGAATGGAGGCGGCATCAAATGGGGTGGTACTTGTGTCTGTTCGTCTAGTACATAGTGATTGGCGTCTCGGACCAACGGCCTATAGTCGGTGTGAAAAAATAGCTCTTTGGGCAGTTGTTCAAAGAAGGTACTGCCGTTTCCGAAACCAAAAGTGAGAATGTGACCGTGGGAGTCGGAGGCTGAAAATACGTGTCCGTCCGGACTCCATTTTGCATCAAAAATAGCACCATAACCCTGACTTTCGATGGAATTAAAAAATCTAAACACTATTTCGCCTTTATTTATGTCCCATACGAATAGTTGGCCATCATGGCCTGCAGATAAAAAGACGTTGGTGTCGTGAGGATGGGACTCAACTACGTAAATTTCATCAGTATGTCCTGTCAGAACTTTAACGAGTTCTCCATTCAAACTCCAAACTTTAAGAGAATAATCACTGACTGCTGTTATAACCCAATCATCATATAAATTCCAGGCCACCATTGTAACCTTTAACTTTTTCGAACAGTCCTCAGAACTCTTTTTACAACTAAAACATTTTTTTTAACAATCTATATTTTGTTACATAATACTCAGGTCAGGTCAGCCATTTATTATGAGGCATAAGATTTTTAGCTGATGTTAGATATACATATTTTATTATTTTGCTTATTTCTTGATTCCTTATCAGAATATTAACATTTTAATTAGTATACATAAATTTTAAAGCATGTACCTACATAAAAGTAGGACACTTTATAGTAGGTATGCATAATAAAACATGTTTGGGTGGGATAAGTATTTATTTAAATATGTATAAAATAATAATATAATATGTATAATAATTGACCTTTGTTGATGAATAAAAAATATTATTATTATTAAAAGTATAATTATATAAAATTTTAATCGAACTTTTCTCTAAACTTTTGGTTGTGTCCATGAATTGTTTATTTTTTTGTTTGTTTTTACCAATACCAACATTTTTGTAATTGCATCAATTGTATATTGTGCAACGAGTGGGGAAAATTGTAGATTCTAACCAAGCATTTGTTTGATGCGCGAGTGAAGCGAGCTTAGCAAGAATACGAGTTTAGAATCGACCATTCTTCACGAGTTGCACATATTATTTTGTCCCACAATCTAATAAACGTAAATCATTTTACTTAGTTAACATAAACAATAACAAACAAATGATCAATTGCAAACAACATTTGCACAAAATTTGTGTCTGCATTTATTTTATTATTTGCATATTATAACGAAAAATATATCTTATGGTGGATGGTTACCCTTGTCTCTGTTATGAACCTTTGAATTCAATACTTTACATAATTTATTTTACAGGGTTTTTCCGTATATTTAGAGAGTGCCTACTAAGTTTATTTTATTATAAGATATAGGAAAAAACTTAAAAAATACAAAAGTTATAGGGTTTCTCATAAAACACCAGAAAATGTTAATATAACAAATAAATAGGTATTGCAAAGTTAGTGAAAAATACAAACTTGGCAAATCTTCAATATATTATAAGAAAAATTATTAGATATTTTAGCTGTGTTTAAAAAACTTAATTAAATTGCCTTGCCAAATTGCAGTTGTCATGAAAAAACAAATGGTTTGAATGACATTAATGATTTATACATATGTATGTACAATGTAAATTATATTACATTGTACGTACCTATTAATTTATTATTTTAATTAAAAAAATAGGCTAGAACTAACTAATTTGTCTAACAATATAATTACGTTTTTTAAATGCAAATATTTCGAAAACGGCTAAACCAAATGTCAACATATTATTTTTAGTTTTTTTGAATTCAGAGAAAAAGGTCTATTAATGTTTGTTATAATACAGGGTGTTTCTTTTAACTTGAGACAGCTCAATATCTCGAGAAATACGCATTTCACGGAAAAATGTCTTAAATAAAAGGTTAATGTGACTAAAGGGGACATTATTTGGTGCTACCGCTAGCCACCCCCTACCCCTCCTTAAGGGTGAAACGGGGGGTAACTTTGGAAAGTCAAATGGAATGACCCGATTTTTTTCACAGAGTTTGGTAGTACATAAAAAAATGAATAACTTTTATTTGAAAGTTTTTTTCAATTTATCAACAGATGGCGCTGTAATTCAAAATTTAAGAAAAATGAGTTTCCTTGTAAAATTTATTATTTGAAACGTTTGAAAAACAAAAATTAACATTAACAACAATAGTCGGCTATGAAAACAATTTATAACAAATGTTCGAAATGTCGTCATTCCATTTCAACACATTTTTAAATGCGGGTAATGAATTCTGGCACACAACGCGCCAACATATCGGGCGGTATCGCCGCACAGGCGTTCCTGATCCGCTCCACCATGTCCTCCCAAGTTGTAGGAATTGCAGCGTAAACTTTTTCTTTCAAGTAACCCCACTGGAAGAAGTCTGGTGGCGTAAGATCAGGTGATCGAGCAGGCCAAATTACTGGACCACGTCTACCGATCCACCGCGGTGCACCGGCCATTGAACTCCCGATCCAACATCTCTCGAGCAATTGTCGAATAATGTGCAGGACAACCATCTTGCTGGTACCACATGTTTTGGAGCCGTGCTAGTGGTACATCCTCCAAAAGGTCCGTCAGATCGTTTTCTAGAAAATTCCGGTACTTTTCGCCATTTAATGCACCGGCAATAAAGAAGGGTCCGATTAATCGTTCGCTTAAGGTACCGCACCAAACGTTTACCGACCAGGGACGCTGGTGCTCCACTTGGTGTCGAAATAAAAGGACGACATTTCGAACATTTGTTATAAATTATTTTCAGAGCCGACTATTGTTGATTTAATGTTAATTTTTGTTTTTCAAACGTTTCAAATAATACATTTTACAAGGAAACCCCTTTTTCTTAAATTTTGAATTACAGCGCCATCTGTTGATAAATTGAAAAAAACTTTCAAATAAAAGTTATTCATTTTTTTATGTACTACCAAACTCTGTGAAAAAAATCGGGTCATTCCATTTGACTTTCCAAAGTTACCCTCCGTTTCACCCTTAAGGAGGGGTAGGGGGTGGCTAGCGGTAGCACCAAATAATGTCCCCTTTGGTCACATTAACCTTTTATTTAAGACATTTTTCCGTGAAATGCGTATTTCTCGAGATATTGAGCTGTCTCAAGTTAAAAGAAACACCCTGTATACAGGTTTTTTTAAATTTTTTTTCTCCGTCTCTCAAAAATACTTTATTATAAAAAAATGGTCGGATTAACATAATACATTGTGGAACTACTTTTTTTTTCTCTAAAATAATTTTCTTACTTCTAAATTTATAATTCATATTATGAATTTTCAAGACAAATTTTACACAAATATGTGAAACAAATTTTGATCAATGTTTTGAGGAAAACTGAACCTTATTCCAAAATCATCATAGTCGCTTGTTGATTACCAACGTTCTCTGACCTCACATGTGTCAAAAGAAATTAACCTTAATTTTTCCCAATTACATTACTTATTTCTCCTTTATTTCTTTTAATAAAAAACATTTATTAGGAGTAAATATGTGAACAATGTTTGAGGATATATGTAAAAATAGCTGTAATTTATTGTTCACTTCACTAGTGGAAAAATATTTGACAAAACTGACAATTATAAAAAATGACAAGTGGCAGATGTCAAAAATTACAGTTGTCAAGGCCTATTTATGGCATATTTTTGACAGATAACAAAAAAGCACGTGTCAAAAATGGCAGATGTCAACAATGACAGGTGACAGATGTCAAAAATTTCAGATGTAAAAAATCGTATACAAAAAAAATGTTTATCCTTAAAATACTTACGTTGATAACTTCATGGTCATATTTAAACACACAGTTTTCCATTGTTGCCTCTCAAACATCCAAATAATTGCGGTTCCGTCTTTACTGCCCGAAAGAAATTTAAGGCCAGAGTGCGCCCATTGAATTGAGTCCACGCGATCTGTGTGCGCTTCGGTTTCCACAATTCTAATCGGGCCCTCGTCCCCTTTCATATAATAGACACGAACATGATGATCGGCAGATCCTGTAGCCAAAAAAGTACCGCCGGGACTGAACGAAGAACATATCATCTGCGCCTGTCCAGGTCGGATTTTTTCTTGGTACATAATTGGAGTGTTTCTAAAAGGTTTTTGTTATGCAGGGTTACAACGCTTAATAGTGGATAGGCAATTTTACAAACATTTTAATAAAGATAAAATGGACCTAATAATATTATTTATTGGTTTAATTTTCATACATAACAATTTAATCAGTTGCATACACAATAAAAGAGTAATATATTTGCAATATCGGGAATATGTTACCTTGGAAAGTTATTTTCTTATTTTTAAAAAATAATAAAACATATTTATTTTTGTATACCCACTATTATTATTATTTTCAGAAAATAAGACGAAGTTAGCGTTAAACTGACATACATAACCTTAGTTATTTGACTGCATTCATTCAAATGCCAAAGTAGGATTTTTTATGTGGAGCTAATAGACTATTAATGGGGTAGTTAAATTTTTTCTGACCTATACTTTTTATGGTTTTATTCAAGGCGTTTTGTAATTTTAAACATTTCTGTGAAATCGGAATTTCAATTGAGCTTACCGTTTTCGAGATATTTACAAAACCAAATCTCCTAATTACGTCACTAGGCTATTGACAACGTTGCCAGTGTGTTTAGTTTAAGATTCTTACGATAGATGGCGCCACGTTATAATATTTTAGTTGAGAAGAAGAAGAATTGATTTTTGACGTTTCTTTTTTTCGGGTTGTTTTTTTTTTTAAATTTAGATTATTGAAAATCAATGTTATTGTTATGTTATTTGTAATTGATATTAGATAAGTGATTTATTAATAACGGACTCCAAAGCAGAGGAATCTTGTGGAATGGTTGGTTACATTGAACATTGGAGCTTTTACTTAAACAAATAAAGTAAGTACCTATAATTATAATCATATTTTGTCGTAAATCCATTTCATTAGTATAATGCCTAGTTCTTTATATTCTTTTAGATATATTATTATTTTTTGTAAATTTATTTCATTCATTTTCAGCTTTATTTTCCACTTTTTTCTATGAAATATATTAAACTCTGCTTTAGACAGTTATTAGATACCTATTTATTACATTTTATTAGGTTTCACACGGTGTTTCAATGTGTAAACCTATCAATAAAACTTTTAATTTCAGAATTTTCTTTAACCCTTATGCAGGCGCACCTCTTTATGCAACGTAGTAGGTCGCGCGGGGTGTCAGAGACACCCCTGATGGCAAAGCGTCCCTGAGTGTTATTTACATTTTTTTTGTTTTTTTTTTCAAAATTATCAAGTTAAGATGAGCTTAGAGACAATGAGAACATATTTCGTTGCGTTCAAATTTGATAAAAGATGACAAAAAAAAGAAAATGTCAAAAGACGACAATTTTAATAAAATAAAGCATTTATTTAAAAAACACAAATTTTAAAAGTCATAACAATAATAAAAACCAAAAAAAAAACACTACGCACATAAGATAAGGTTTACTTTTACAAGTAATTATGATTTGGTAAAGAAAAGTCAATAGGGAGGCGAAACCCAACCTGCTCAAAGTCACTCAATTTCGATACTAGAATTTACTATGAAATCAAAGCTTTCTTTACAAAAATTTTTCCTGTGCTTTATGCACATGTTTTTGGCACACCTTCTACTTTTTGCAAAAATTCATGCCTTGGACAAATTACACATCTGCCCTTCTTTACCGGCAACTGATAATTTGAAAATTATTGGGCGGAGAAATTTTGGCAAATTTTTATTTGTTGTTTACATAAAATATTAGAACGAACGGAAACAAGCAAAACATAACGCAATGCTTTCAAGATAAAAATAAATATTTTGTCGTGCGTTCCAATTACTTTTTTACAGGGTATAACCTTATTTAATGTGAAGTAATAACAAAAGTTGAAAAAATCAGCTTAACAAATTAATGTACGTGGAAAGGCGCACGGGGTGTCTACAGCACCCAGAGCCTGTTTAAAACAAAATATCAGACAACCTATTACATTAACTTCGAAATCGGCAATATAATATGACTGACAATACTTTGACAGGAAGGTACTGAAAGTAAGCGCCATTTATTCGAAACGAAGTGAGACCGGTAGGTATATTTAGGAAGCTGGGGTGTTTTGTACACCCCGCGTGCCTGCTTAAGGGTTAACCTCCTTCTTTCACTCAACTGACAGTGACAGTATTTGTACATAACCTCTTCGGGTATTTTCTGACATAACCGAATGAAATCATTAACAAGACAACTTGACAACAGGGTAATTTTCAACCAATAGAAATCTTAGAATGTTGGTCACATGGCGGGGTTTGTGACGTCATAAAAATTTATATTTTTTGTAAATATCTCGAAAACGGTAAACTCGATTGAAATTCTGATTTCACAGAAATGTTTAAAATTACAAAACGCCTTGAATAAAACCATAAAAAGTATAGGTCAGAAAAAATTTAACTACCCCATTAGCACTATACGCTAAAGAAGTATAGGGTTTTCTCAACGCGCTCGCCATCTGGTGGACTTCGATAGCATTGCGTGAATTGAAGAATTGTCAACAATACATTTAAAGCATACGAACTGTACATCATTTTTAAATAAATAGATAATTTTTACAAAAGAAAGGAATGCAGAAGTCTTACTCCACAAATTTTTGTTAATTGCACAGTTAAATCGCGTACGTTATTTGTGTTTTACTTTGGAAAAAACTAAAAAACTGGTTTAGTATTCGATTTCTATTAATTATTTTTTATATCATAAGGACATTTTTAAGAAATTGGTAAAAAATAATTTTTGCACAAACATAACCCTAAATTCAACCATTTTTATATTTGAGTTCTTTAAAAAACGCCGACAACTGCATTTTAAACAACAAAATATACGTACGAATTCATGGCAACATAATATTATATATAATACCTAATATAATGGTATTTTACCGTTGACTGGAGACTTTAAAGAATTCTTAATCAACGCTTTTAATAATGCTAAATGCTGTTTATTTTTAATTTTTACTGAATTGAAATGTTTACACTTTTCACGTTAATCATTACTAAAATGTGTATTTATTGTATCTAATAGATACAATTTATATTTACAGGGACTGCAAGAAATTTATTTCTTCATTCGGATTAACACTGTTTATTGGAAAACTGGTAACAACTCAACCCAGGATTTCCTTTCGAAATACGCCCAACAACAGAACAAATCGTGCCACGGTTTTTTTTCGATATGTTTTTAACATTTTCCGGTTTTATTCTCAAAAACACTCGTTTGTAACATAAGCGTTTGACAGCTGATTATTAAAAGTTGTACATTTGTTACGATAATAACAGCCGAGAGGTGGCGCTACTAGCGATACTTTTCACATACTTCCAAGTATGTGATACTTCTTTAGCGTATATTAATTGAAGCCGAAAAAAGTAATCGACTGACCGTTGCACCAGTGACGTATCAATCTTAATATTGTCAAATCAAGTAAAGTCAATTTTTTAGTATAGTATATTAAAGTACAAGTTGCAGAAGGCCACATATTCTCGCACGAATTCGAAATTTGGCCTCGAGCGACGAAGGAGCGAGTGGACGAACGAATGAGTGCGAGAATAGCCTTCTGCAACGTGTGATTTATACTATTTTCTCGATTTTAACTTTTATTTAGGTTTTTTTAATTGTTTTGTGGTCGTTATTAGTTAGGGGATTTTTCTCGCAAAATGTCAGTTGGCAACACAAAATGACAATATTTGTTATCCTGCACAAGTACAACCTGAACTGCACTTTTACACATTAAACTTAAAATTTTGCATTAAAATGCATTGTTGGAGCAAACTTTATATTACAAAACAATAATAAAGGCTTCATTTTCAATAAAAGTAATGAATTTGAGGTTATTAATCAGTTTGACATTTTGGGGGTACCAATACTTAAAAACTAAATGTTACCAAAAATCGTTTAAGAATGAGCTTCATTCTTCAACGATTTTGCGTGCGAGAATATGACATTCTTACATAAAAATCGAGAAAATTTATTACTTGCTTACTTATGCCTTACTACATCTAAAGTAAAGCAAAAAAGAATATATTATCGCCAAAATTGGAGAAGTCGTCTCAAAAACGCATAGCACATAACTGAATTGCAGCACAGGCGCGATTCAAAAATTTAACAAAAAGTGGGTAGAAACTAGGTTAATCCGTTAGGAGGCAAAAAACAATTGCGAGAACAATGTCTGTTTAACTGCGTGAGTGCTAAAAAGCCTCGAGTTAATAAAGAGTCAAAAGTAGAATTTGCGAATAATTTTTTAAATCAAAACGCTCGATATTGAAAAAATGTTCAGTACAATGAGCAACTGCAAGTTTATCGTTCCAGGAATCATAAGTATGATGAAGAATGCCTGCACAAAACTGACAACAGCGGAAGGTATTCTCTCCACGTGTGAGCGTGGATATGTTCAGCAAGGGCTGCAAAAAACCTATTTCTAAACGATTTTATATTTTAACACAGTTTGATATACCTTTGCCTGATTATAAAAAAAGGTTAGTAATTGGTTTAAAGAAAATCACGTGTCCGTCGAGGGATTTAAACCCAATAAAAAATATTTGTGGATATCTTATAAAATAAATACAAATGTAAATGTATACCAATAAATAAAGAGAAACTAATTAATGTCTTTTAATATGAGGGGAAGATATAAACTATTTCTCTATGAAGTGGAACAAAACAAAAGAAAATTACAACATGCATAATTTAATTAGTTTCAAACAGTGGTTCTACAAAATATTAATTAATTATTTTTAATATTAAGTTATTAGCTTTATATTTAGGGTTTTTGATCGCCCAATAAACACTGAAAAGTTCATTTCGTTTTTAGGTTTAAATTAAGTTGCTTGTTATATTGTTTGTTTGTAAATAAAAAATTAAAAACATTATGAATTCTATCTCAATAATTAAATATGACCTTATAAGGTACACCAATGATTTTTTGTCAAATTAACAATTAAAAAAACATACTACTTGATAAAGATTGATTACTTTTTTTGACAAAATCGACGTCACAATAGTACATAATACTTAAAAAAAAATAGAAAAATAATATAAATTTAATAATAATTACCTAAAATTGACCTTTCCATTTTCATGTTCGTAAGTCCAAAAAGCAATGGATCCATCAGAGCTGGTACTAATTAAATATCTAACACCCCAACAAGCGGTGGGACAAAAATTTACCGAGGTTATAGAGCCAGTATGTCCAGTCAAAACAGCTATTGGAGCCCCTGACTGCAAATTCCATACTCTTAAAACTCGATCAATGGAACCAGCGGCAAGCATGTTATTTTCCAGATTTATTGCTATGTCAGTTATTTCTGATGAAGCTCCTCTAAATGCAGCTATTAATCTGCCTGTGTTTGCTGACCATAATTTTATTAACAGATCATCTGCACCCTAAAAATATAATAGTGTATATGAGAACATTAGGTGCAAAACTCGGTTTTTGCAATTTTTTTAAAAATATATATTTTATCCTATTTATGTACATTACTGCACTGACTACATCATACCTAAGTAAACCAGATGCAACTCGGTATTTGCTGTTGACCAATCACGTCGCTAGTATACGCATTACGTGACGATATAACAATCACCTGATTGTTATTTTTTGGTATTTGCTCTTTTCACTTGCAAAACTTGGTCTTTGAACTAGGAAGATTCAAAACTATGTTTTTAAATCTTTTTATTTCAATTATTTACTAAATTACCTAATTTTAAATGATTTTTTTTTACTTTTTTGAATAAAAATGATGCAAAAGCACGTCTTTACAATTTTTGCATTTTTTTTTCAAAAATGATCTTCTGAGCGTTTTTTCATGTTTTTCTTAAAATCACTTATCCTGTATTTGCAATACAGAGTTGTGCATCTAATGTACTCATAGTATACGAGAGATAATTAATATTATTATCATCCGAGTGAAAATGCGCATTATTTCTAGTGTATGGGGCTCTGTTTAATGTTTTATTCAGGAATTATTTTTATTTGTTAATCCTAGAGTTATATTTTTAATTAGATAAAAAATATCACATTAAAATTTTTATTCTGCGAATTAATAATAGGTATCATGGCAGATATTTTAAAAATAGATTTAATTTTTATGCCAAACTGATATTTTTAATTTAGTTAATTTAAAATATTTGCTTCTTACATATATTTGAATTTTTTGTTAAACACATTTTTAATTGGCTTAATTAAAAATTAGATTTAATTCGTATGCCATACGGATATTTTTTATTTAGTTAATTTAAATATTTGCTTCTTATATTTATATTTTTTTGCTAAACACGTATTTTTAATTTCAATAAAAAATATCATAGGAATAATTTTTAAATGTATTAAAAATATCATAGGAGATATTTAAATTTTATTTTATTAAATAAGCAGATATTTTTAATTTAATGTGATATTTTTTATTCCGACTGATTGAGAGTTTGGATACACCTGTTATTCCAAACGCCACAAAAACTGTTCAGCACACGCTGGGTCAGTGCGACATTGGACTCAAAATTAGTTTGGAAAGTCCAAACTTTCAGTCGGAATTAAAAATATCACATATAATAAAAATTAAATCGAATTAAATATGTATATCTCCTATGATTTTTTTACATTTAAAAATTTCTCCTATGATATTTTTAATTAAGCGAATTAAAAATATGTGTTTAGCAAAAAAAAAACAAATATAAGAAGCAAATACTTTAAATTAACTAAATAAAAAAATATCAGTTTGGCATAGAAATTAAATCTTATTTTTAATTAAGCGAATTATAAATGTGTTTTACTAAAAAATACAAATACATAAGAACCAGATATTTTAAATTCACTGAATTAAAAAATATCAGTTTGGCATAAAAATTAAATCTAATTTTAAAATATCTGCTATGCTATTATTAATTTGCAGAATAAAAATTCTAATGTCATTTTTTTTATCTAATTAAAAATATAACTCTAGGGTTAATACATAAAAATAATTCCTGGATAAAAAATAAAACGGCGCCCCATACTAGTGTAATACTATGCTTTTTCTACTTCAATTAAGACATTTGCATTAATAGCTATTAATAACTATAGTTAATACACTTTCTCCCGATTTTAAAGATCATTATAGTCTACCCTCATGCACCAAGTATTCTTCTATATTTGAGTATCTTTTGTATTTGAAAAGCTACAAGGTCAGTTAAATTATAGAAAAGTTGCGAAATTACAAGTCTATTAAAATGGTGTTTAAAAGTTGGAAAAAAATCAGCGATTCTCAAACTGAAAACCTGTCAAAACAAAAAATCGTTTTAACTTCGTCATTTCTGTAAATTAAAAAAAATCGTTTCAAATGGAAACTTGCACATTTATAAATAAAAAAATACCCATAGAAGTATTTTAATACACCAAGCATTATAATTCACATAGAAAGATACTTAAAGATACAGATTTTTTGATATACAGGGTGCACCCTGTCAATATATAAAAAATTCTGACATTTGTTAGGCAGTTCCAACCAAAGATAATAATAATAATAATAATAATAATAATAACAATAACAATAACAATAATAATATTAATAATAATAATAATAATAATAATAATAATAATAATAATAATAATAATAATAATAATAATAATAATAATAATAATAATAATAATAATAATATTAATAATAATAAACCCTAGGGTTTTAAATTGAAAAAAACGTGAGGTTGGAACCAAAGATAATACATTATTATTATTATTATATATATATATATATATATATATATATATATATATATATATATATATATATATATATATATATTATATTAGCTATTGGTTAAAATCACAGTGAATATTCGACCAATTACTGATGCCTCACAACGTGTGCAAACGAGACCAGTGGCTGCCCATCTATTGCCTGCGTATTTTGTTATATTAAAAAAAACATAAAATGTTTTTTATGTATTTTGAATATTCTTGAACATAAAATCACTTAAAGTAATCGTAATTATGCTAACCCTGGTTCAAATCAACGCCTGGATCCGAAAGTGTATTTGTTTGTTTAATTTTATTCTGGTTAAAACTAATGATTTGATAATTTAGTATTTAAGTTGAGTATAGCTAGACAGGCACTTTTTTAGAATTACTAATTAAAAAAACTATGCCGCAAGACACTACCAATTTCAATAAGGGGGCCTCATATAAATTTAAAATCCCTCGGCCCTCACCTGGCTTTTTTCAATAGCAAGAAGAGGACCTACAACAAGATTTACAACTAAGTTTAGGGAAGAATATTAATCAAAATTGCAAAATCATTTATCGTAAATTATATAGCAATTTTTATTAAATGATCCATATTTAAACCTGATGTGATAAAAAAATCCAAACTGTGAATATAATCACCAACAATTAATTAAAAGCTAATAGCTAACACCTAATTCAAAACTGTGTAAACTGTGTTATTTGGCCAAATGGTGGATTTTGGGGTATACCGATATCTCAATTATTAGAAATGGGACCCACAACAGTTTATAATGACATTAATAAAACAAGTTCTGCGTAAGCAGAATTCAAATTGAAGTATGCGAAAAAAAGAAAACTTTTTGCTCGGCCGCACCGGCCCCATGGCGACCCCAATAAATATAATATAAATTTAATTGGTGCAATTTATTATTTACCATAGTTTATTAACAAATTTCAAATTTTATTTAAAAAATCCAAATCATACAGATTTTATATCATTTTAAATTTTTATTATTTCTTTGAAAAGTAATATATATTTTGTATCAAGTTTGATAAACGCCATTTTAGACACAAATTTAATTTAGGCACAAGCGAGCTTGCGAACAATTGCTTAAATTAATGAGTGTCTAGAAAAGTTTATAAACGAGTTGCATACTATACTTTTTGTACGACAAATACTTATTATTATCTTAAAATGATTTAAATCACATAATTGTATAGAGCGCCATCTATAAAAGAATAGCTATTACAGATTACCCTAGGGTAATCTGTTTTACCGTCAAATGTCAAATATTTATGTGTTATAAACACAAAAATGGATTAACAACAGTTTCTCCCAGTGAAAGTAAAGAAAATGTTTTATGAGCACTTCACAGTGAAGTCCGAGCCCGAATTTAAGTTCTAGTTTATCTAGTTTAGTGCAGGCGAAATTAAAAGGTCAGTACAATGTTCATATCGGTTCATATAACCTTTTTATTGGCGTTGAGAAACTGTTTAATACTTTTGTATATTTGTATTGAGATAATAAAATAATTTTAGTATTATAAAGGTACTTTATTTCAACGATTGTAGGACATTTGACAACTGTCTTAAAACCTAACTTTAGCCAGTGACTAAAACGCCATAAAGCCACAACTTGTCAATGTGTGTTTAAAAGGTCACTTAATGTCATGGAAACATGTACGATAATGGGCGTTTTAAAGGTGGGAGTAGAAAAATATTATTGTAGTCGCCTTTTCCAAATTAAAACCCCAATTGGTTTAAGTTAATGTGAATATTGAAATCGGCCAATCACTGATGAGCGGCTGTTATAATGGTTATCATTATATATGGAAAAAACCCAATATTATGCAATAGAAGTAGAAACAGTAAATTTTTGTCAAGTGCATTAATTTCATATAGGTACAGATGTTTCATTATTGGGATTTTATCATTCTCAGAACAATAATTGTAATACATAAGTTTTTAATCAAAAGCATAGAAATAAAAAATGGGTAACCCAGGGTATAAGTAGTAATAAACTGTGATTTTTTATAATAATATAGTTAAAAAACGTTTACATCTCAATCAAATTAATGATTAAACCATAAGTATTTGGTATCATTAACAAGCTCTTGATGAAAAATTTAAAGTAGTATATTAAGTTACATAATTTATGTATCAAGTTTTATAAACGCTATTTTGGTTACAAGTTTTATTAGGCACGAGGGTAGCTTGCGAGCGAGAGTTTAATAAAAACTAGTGTCTAGAGAAGTTCATAAAACAAGTTGCATACTATACTTTATATACAACAAACAGAAATAAGAATTTAATATAAATATTTAACATTTGACAAATTTAACCTCACTTTTTCGCAATTTATAATAAAGCTTCAGCTCGTGACTAAAATGCCCAAAAGCCACTGTTAACTTAAGCCTGTGGCTAAAACGCCATAAAGTCACAGCTCTTCAATGTCAAAATCATTATAACTTAAGTTAAGCCCATTTCATATAGATGCGAAATGCGAGTTGCGAAATGCGAAAAATGTTTTCATTGGTCCATTTGATTTGGCGGAAAAAGCTTTTCGACGTTTTGACAGAGAGAGGGCGGGAATCTTCAATTGGTCCAATATTTTGCGAAATTCGTACCAATTTAGCGTGATGCGCATGCAAATTAATGCAATTGCTTATTATACCTACAACATTTATGTTTAATTAATTTGTATCATAGTGTATGTTTTGTTGAGTTTTATTTGAACTGTTTAAATAAATGTTTAGAATTGTTTTCGTTTTTTTAATGGACAAAGAATTTTTTGAGGTACATTAATGTTTCTTATAATATCTTTATAGTTACTTTAACTAACTTTACTATTTAATTACCTAAAATAGCATGGCAAATATCAACTAGTGAGAAAACAAAGTCCGCATCTATACGAAATAGGAGTTGCAAAATGCAAATAATCATAATTTGCAATTCGCATTTCACATCTATATAAGGTGGTCGTTAAAAATTAAATTCTTTCTGACGCCCAAAAAAATCCTTCCTTTCGATAAAAAACTGAGGGGAAAAAACTGAGGGGAAAAAACTGAGGGGAAAAAACTTTTTTTTGGTTTTCATAAATAAGAACACGTGCCGACGGCCAATTGAAGTTCATTTTTCGATAAAATTGTATTTTTTTTTTAAATATCTCTTACAGAATTTGGTTTTGAGAAAAATTTCTCTACAAAAAAGGTTTTCTTACATTTTTCTATAAAGTTCATATTTATCAAGATATTCTCATTAGTAAACTTACAAACTCTATCAAGTCAGTCATTTTTGGACTAAAACTTTTATTTTTCCTGAAATATGAACAATTCTCTCAAAATATCTTGAATTTTAGATATTTTATTGATATTGTGACATGAGTAAATGATTTTCAATTTAATGATTTTTAGTGCTAAAATGACTGACTTAATAAAGTTTTTAACAAAACCAATATTTTAAAAAAACTACAATTTAATTGAAAAATAAACTTCAATTGGCCGTCGGCACGTGTTCTTATTTATGAAAACCAAAAAAGTTTTTCCCCTCAGTTTTTCGTCGAAAGGAAGGATTTTTTGGGCGTCGGAAAGAATTTAATTTTTAACGACCACCCTAATCTATATGAAACCAACTTTACACATTCACAATGTGACAGGTTTATTGCCAACTTATTTTCCAAAAATAGTATCTATATACCCAACTGTGTAGTAATGGATTGATTTTAGAAAAGTAAATAACCCATAATTGGGCAATAGTTCTTTGATTAAAGTTCTCTAGACTTAAATTGCCTTTGTTTTGACACTTAAAAATAAAGAAAAACTCACTGTTATAATGAATTTCCCTGAATAGTCAAATAATAAACAATACACAGCTGACAAATGACCCAAAGTTGTTCTTTGAATTTGCATAGCACTATACAATGAGGGATTTATTGTCCGTTGTCTTGAAAATGGCCCAGATATTTCCCTACCTCTAAGTCCATTTACTAAAATACAAATTAACCAATTAAAATAATGAAATAGAGCTTTTGCATATACTTACAAATATTAAAAGATAATTTAATATCATGTACAGGAACACCATGGTATCTTGAAACATATTTTTGATATTGCCGAAAATTATTTAAATTCTTAATATTACTTATATCCTTAAATTTAGCACTTAATAAAGAAGTAATACTCGATTTGTCTATGGAGGTTCCATATGTATTAGTAGCTTGGCAGGCAAGTTGTAACAAAAAGTCTGGTTTAATATGCGGAAATTGTCTTTCCTAAAAATAAAACAACAATAAATAAAATTTATGTTATTATTATACATTTTACCATATCCTCAACTGTTCTTTCATGTTCATTTCCTTCCCAGTCCATTCTCTTGGGTAAAATCTTAAATATTTGCAATATAAAAATACCAAAAAATTCACCTTCTAAAATAAATACTTACCCTATGTTCCTCAAGTTCTTCATTTAAAACCTAAAAAACCCAACCAAATTAACTAATTTATTCAAAATTATTTGTTTACCTACTTGTAATGTTTTCTTTAAAGGACCAGCAGTTAAAAATTTCTTAATCAAAAAATATAAATCTGAAACAAGGTTTAGTTGATTACAAACTTATTATTTATTCATAAAATACTCTACCAGCTGTTTGTGCTAATCTTTGTTTGTCAGTTTTGTCCATAATTTAATTTCTTGTTAACATTTTTGTTTTTAGGTTAGTTTTTTTAAATAGGGAAACTTGACAAGCTTGACATTACGACTGTCAGCGAATAGGTTGGCAATACTGTATAAACTACGTGGCGCCAAATATAATTTAGATAGAAGTAGGCCAACCACAGTGAGGCCAACGGTTAAGGCCGATTCTTATTACTGGGAACACGTTACCCAATAAATATTGCTATAAACATGTCTAATAATACATGTGCACAGTAACTTACTGTCAGTAAGAAAATTACGCTGGCCACAGAATAGCCAACGTTTTATTCTATAAAATATTCACCCAATAACCGTAATAATTTATGCGTTTATTTCAAACACCATATTTTTTATTTTACGTTCATTTCTTACTGTGTACAGGGCCGGTGTTTCTGCCGCCACCCGACAAACAATTATTGTCCGTCGGCCGCCGATGGTCGACAAACGATCTTGCACTGCAAGACTTGCAGACGTCGCACAGTCGACTAAAATCACAATTTAAATTAGGTCTTTTTACAATTTAGAAAATCTAAATTGATGTTTTTATAGCAAAAAAAACATTAAAATGTTTAGTTTAAGTTTTATTTAAGTATAAAATTTAAAAATTTTCAACAATACTAAAGTTTTAAAACATTGAGTTTAAATTGCTGTATTTTAAAAGTAATACATTTTTTTAATTAAAGCTAAGACGTTTATCTAAAATTTTATAGTTTATTTAAAATTTTATAGTTAAAAATAGAGTACCTACGTATAAAAAAACAAATTATTTATTAAAAATTAAGTACTAAAAAATTATCATTTTTTAACTTTAAGTATACTTAAAGTTAAAAAATGATAATTTTTCCCTATAGGGAAAAGTCTTTCTTTAGGAATCTTGCTGCTCTAATTATATATGTTTTTTAGTCCAAAATCTTGTTAACAAGACCATTTAAAATTTGGATCCGACCGCAAAAATTAATAAGGTTTTTCTGTAGTGGTGCATTTTTGCGGTCGGATCCAAATTTTATATGGTCTTGTTCGCGCCAGCGCAGTAAAAGTGCTTTATTTAAAATTATTCAAGTTTAAATGGCGGTAATTGTAAAACTAATATATTAATATATCTGTATACAGATTTTGTAATATATTTTTTTATGTATAAAAGCTTAGCCGTTTTTATATTCATAATTTTATAGTTAAAACATAAAATATCAACAAACAAGTTATTTATTAAAAATAATATAAAGTACGTACTTAACACGTGTTAATTTTTTTTTAATTAGCTTTAGTATATACTAATATTAGTATTAGTTTTTTTCTTTCGAAATCAAGCTGACCTAATTATATTTGTTTTACAGGCCAAAATATTGTTAATAGGAAAATATAAACTTTGTATCTTTTCGTGCCCGTCTGCGAAATTTAATAGGTTTTTTATTTTGCGGTATATGATATCGGCGCTGTATATCGTCATTTTCCTGCCAAAAGTCACTAATTGACATTTTTGTAAGCACAGTAAGCACAAGATAGCCGGCCCGCATACGGCCCGAATACGTTTTGCCGAATCGGCCGCGTGCGGCCCGACACATGTATTTGTTCCGGCGAGTGGACCAGGTATGTCCGCCTGGCCAACTGTCGGGCATATCCGCCTGGCCGAATGTCGGTTATGTTTACTCGGCCGAGTGTCGGCTGTGTATAGTTGGCCGAGTGCCGGCCACAACCGCCTGGCCATTCAAAAAAAGTCTACATACGTCCTGAATAGGTATATCCTACAGGTTTAACACACTCGACTAGCTAGCCATTATTCGTTACTGAGCAGATGAGAATGGTGCACCATCATGATGGAGACTCCAAAAAATTTATGTTTAGCTATGCCATTACAGACGCGCACTTACAACTAAATATTGCAACCCATCGCTATTTATAGTTAGCTCTCTTGCGTAAGCAGCCGTGAGATGTATCGCTTATGCCGCGGCAGGCCGTATTCCGGCCGGTTAGGGCAAGCCGAACGATTTTGCAGCGGCATGCCGTATTCTGGCCGACTTCGGTTAGAACAAGGCCAAACGGTACCTACCGGGCTAACATAACTCGGGCCATAAGCGGGACAACTGGGGCAAGCCGAACCGCCGGTCAACCGCCTCCCAGGTAACACTTCGTGACGATAATTTTCTGCAGATCATGTAATCACCAAAACGTGACCGAAATTTTTTGGATTAACGCCAAATTAAAGGAAATCTTTACGTTTTAGGGACGATAAAAAGCTAAAGAAATTTTCACGATACTACGTGACGTAAAACAAACTTTACTTTACACAATCGTTAGGTTTTCGTAATTAAAATAGCTGAAGAACTCTAAAAGCATCTTTCACGAAAGTATAACGTAGATATTTTAATCGAGGGGTAAACCACTGATTTTTTAAAATTAAAAATCGCTTACGAATTAACGGCTAAGGATAACAATAACAAGGGTAGTCATGTACATCAGGTCGCTAAGCACTGATTAAGCACCGATTAAGCAAGTTTTCCTTATTGATATCGACTGATAAGGAAAAAAATCTCAACACAACGTCCACTAACATTGAACGTTGGTCTCTAAGATTTTAAAGTGGTTTACCCCTCGATTTTAATATCGTTATGCATTTTCTTGGAGAAAAACATACCGATTTTGTAAACGAAAACTTCACGAGCTTTTGCCGGTTTTACAGGCCAGTTTATTTTATTCGGGTTGCTTGACGCGTGAGTTTTACGAATAGTAAAAATAAGTGTTTAATACCACAATTAAAAAAAAATTAAAGTGTTTAGTGAGTGCCATATTGTAATAATTTAGAAATTGGTTCTGCTTAAAAAAAGCATGTATTTTTTTTAATTTGAGGTTAGTTTGAGAGCTGACGATGAGGCTACCGATAAAATGTTCTGATGTGATATATTTTTGATGATATTTCGTTAGATAACAAATAGGCTTTGCACCAGAAATCAAAAATCTAGAGTTTCTCTGATTTTTTTTACAAGGGGGATACCTATTCGTTTTATTGATTTAAATCAATAAAATTATCAATGTACCTAATTACATATTTTATTTATTTACTAAATTTTGACCTTATTTCAGAGGTTTTTCTTTATCCAATGTTTCAAATTAATGTGTTCACCAGAGTCTGGTCTGCATTATTTTGTAATGGATTTGGGACATGATGTCGTAATTTTTGTTTACTACAACCAAAAGAGCTTTTCCCATTTTTTATTTTTTTGTGTAAAACCCCTAAAACTACATATGTGACAAATGCTGCATGTAGACCCTCTTATTTCTAAGAAGAAAAATTTTATTTTAAGTTATTTATTTTTTATTTTGTTTGTTTTGTTTGTTTCATAGAGAAAATAGTTTTGTTTTATTTTTATGTTTTATTATAATAATATTATAGAAATAAACGGTTTATTTAGGTCGGTAGTAGATCGCATATACCTATAACTATAGTTATAGGTATATGGTAGATCGGGATGGTCTTGAGTCTAAAGTTAAGATATTGCATTTTGTGTGATGGTTCAGTGATTTGGGACCACAAGTACAAAAAAAAAATAGGACAAAAAGCAAATTTTTTTTTATTCATTAACAAAAAAATACATTTGACATAAAAGTTAAAATTTTTAAGAACGTAAAAGCGTTGAGTTAATCAATGGTAAAAGTAATTACTAACTTAAGTTACAAATAATAGTATTTGTAAATAAACAACTTTTCATATAAAATATTAAGAAGAATATGAAACCTACTTACAAGTATTTGACAAAAAAAACAGGACCTCAAAAATTAACTAAAAATGCGAAACCACTTTGGAACATTCCATCCTATAAAAATGAAATACAACCAATGTTGTTAGTATAAACTAACATGAATACTTTAACAAAGTTATAATATCTTTGTTATTTTATCAATGCAGAGCATTGTTCATCAATTTCGTCAGCTTTATAAATAGAAAATAAGCGAGACGATTTTTTTAAAGGCGATTTTCCAAGATATATAACACCCCAGATTTGTTTACAGTTTGCAGATCTTCTTTGGACAGCCACTGAAAATATTCACCGTTGCGTTGCATAAATGTGATTTTCAGGTCTTCACCGTTTATTTCTTTTATGCATCTAGGGTACCAAGTTTCATCATAAATAACAGTTACCCATGAAACAATTTCGATGTTATTTAGGGTAATACTCTTACTGTTATTTATCTGGGGTCCAAACATTTGTTTAGTCAAACGATCTCTTTGCATTGCTAACTGCCTTGAGGAAATTGTAGTTGACGTTGATGGAATTGCCAAACTTTTTTCTAAAATCTCACTCATTATAAGTTTTCGTTTAACAGTCTCTTGTCCTTCACGCATTATATCTTTTACTTTTGATTTTGGCGAAGGAGAGCAATTAATTTTTTGTTTTTGAAGCCTTGAAAATTTTTGCTTCCACGAGTTGGCCTGTTTTTTGCATTAGTTAATTTTTTCTTGCAGACATAACTTTTATTTTTGTTGTTTTCGACGAAAACTTTTCGTTTAAGTTTTCGGATGGCATTTCGATGTGAACTTCTTACAGCAGCATTTTGCAACTGATTATTATAAATGTCTACAAAAACTAGTTCCTCTGCATCGGAAGCGGGTGGTGTATTTTGTTGTCTTATTAATTCTTCATCTTTCCCTTTTTTGAGATTATTTTTACAACGACGATAACTATTTCGCCACAGCTTTCTCTGTTTCCTTTTTTCCCGTTCAGACATATTATCAATCTTTTTAATCTTCCCCTCTTCTCTTATCTTGCGGCTTCTTAGTTTTTCTGCGTTTTTGTACAATTCATATTTATTAATATCGGCTTTAATTCTTTCTTTTTGTTTTCTTTTCTTTTCGGCTGCGTCTTTTCTTTTTTGGTCAATAGATGTTACTTTTCTTGGTTTCGTTTCAAGTTCCTCGGGAGATCTTTGTCTTTTTCTATTTTATCTCATCACGTCTTTCAGGGTTGTCTTTAGAATTTTCGGTTTAGTGCTATGCTGAATACTATTTAATGCACTGTCATTTTCTATTTTTTTGGTTTGGTTTTCTTGACTATCAG